CTCTTTAACCCGCGCCGGAGCTATTTTGAGGAGGCGGTCACGTGGAGGTGTATCCGCTCGTTAGGGCCCTCGCCGGTCCCGCGTGGCGGCCAGGCGCGGCGTACGGGCCGCGCCGGCATGTCCCTGGAGGTCTACTGTGGCTATGGCGGTAGTCTGTTGGCTAGTTGGACGGTACGTCCTTTCGTGTTTCCTTAATTTTTCCGACAGCGCGAGGTAGCCGGACCCTCACGGAGCCCGTCCAGCGCGCATGCTCGGCCTCCCTCACGACCTCGCTGCCTTCTCGCCATTCGTTATTGATCGCTTTGCCTGGGTTGATGGACTGGATGGTTTCATTGGACGTCCATGAACGTTCAGTCTGCTTTTCCGTCAGCTGACCGTCCGCTTTTCCTCTCCCCTTTGTTGTTTTTTGTTCGCTTATTTGTCGTTTTTTTTGGAGACGCCGATCTCTCGCCGAAGCCCGCCCAGCGCGCATGCACGGTCTCTTCACAATCGCGCTGCCTTCCTACCATTAATTATTAATCGCTTTGCGTAGGTCGACGGGCTGGTTTGTCTTGTGGGACGTCCACCCATGTTGAGGCTCGATTTCCGTTTAGTTGGTCGTTCGCTTTCCTTCTCTTCCTTCGATCCGTTGTGGGACGCTGAACTCTTGCCAGGCTCCGTCCAGCGCGCCTGCATGGACTTTGTCATGCGCGTGCTGTCCCTCTTCTTTCCTTCATCACTCACTCGTCCCGATAGACCGACTGGTTTATCAAGGTATCCATGCACATTTCATTTTGATGTTGTTGTTTTTTTTTTTAGCTGCTCGCCCCGTTTAATTCAGTACGGCCTAGCTCCGTCCAGCGCATGCGCTGCACGGATTCCTTTAACAAGCGGGTGCATTCCCTGCCCTCTATTTTTTCCCCTCCATTTGGCTAGACCCTTCTCGATTACTGAATGATCGGTGCACGGTGTCCACGCTCGGTTGGCAGAGGGCGCTCTCGACAGGGAGGGATCCTCCACGGACACCGGAGGCTTAGCGCGGAGGAGACTGACGTCAAACTTTTCGAAGCGGGCGTGATCTCCGCGCCGTTGGCTAGAGGTCGGAAGGAGATCGCCTGTTGCCGTGGGTGCCGAGGGATTGCGGCGAGTTGCGCTGAGCCCGCTACGTCTCGGGAGACCGCCCGTCACTCTGCGAAACCAGCCGAGATCACTCGCAAGGCGCCGGCCGGAGTAGCGCTCGGAAGGAGACACAGGCGCCATCTACCAGTCGACATCGGCGATCGCGGCAGAGGGCAGCACCCGACGGTGCGCAAGGGCGACGCGGGTGCCTGTGACCCGCCGGCACAGGACGGCACGTTACGATGTGGACGGACGAGGCAGTACAGCGCTCGCGACCCGCTGGCAAGTTGCAGGGTCCTGCTATATGCCGAGCGCGTTGGATTCGAATCCAAGAGAGTGCCAGCTGGGTCGTCAGTGCCTGCCCGGCAGCCCTCCTGTATCTAGCCCGCCGTCCCGACGGCGGACCAGGGCGTGGCCGCGGCGCGATTTACACCGTATACGTGGTGTGACAGATGTGCGATTATCGTTAGCCCGTTGGTGACGCGACAGGGAGTACACAGATTACATGTTTCAGTAGGTGGATGGCCTGGTGTTCAGCTCCAGGGCGGAACCAACCTTATCGATGCCCACAGATCTCCGTCGGTCGATCGATCGCTCAGAACTTGGAATAGACAAGGTCAACTCCCACCAGACTGCCAGACTTTCGTCCGGTAGGCAACGTGCCGCCCATTTCCCGAAGGTCGAGCCGCTCGGGGATCATAACCAAAGTTGGTAGGCGTGGGACCCGCACGAGCAGCGTGGTTCGGCTGTGGTCAGGATCGAGGAGTCAGAAGACTGCAGCCCTGTTCTTACGGAGATGTCCGTTTGTGGGTAGCGCAACTCAAATGCACGGTTTCGCTCTTTTTTGGATTAAGGATTTTGGATGGTCGACTTTTTTACTCTCACTTGACCTCAGGCGTGACGGCATGAGGAGGCAGAAGTCATGACATGACCAAGGCCCAGTGGGGACCGCCCGGGATGCCGGATCATGCACAGCGGTAGCTGAATCCATCCGTTGGTGTACCCTGCCTTGGAAAATGACGGATAAAGATCCCACCATCGACGCTTATAGGAAGGGAGACAAGGGACCGGGTCGCTAGACAGGCCAGTCAGGCCGAGTCTCCAGAGCGCAAAGGCCGGGGAACTGTAGAGCGTGAACGTAGGTCACGCCGAGCGCTCGTCCTCTCCCGAGGGGCCCCACCGTCCCATTGCGTGCGCTGTCTACCTCCAGGTCTCTGAGAGACGCACCGTGGGACGGTGCCTCTCAACGCTCGCTACGGCAGGAGGGAGGGCGCAGAAGCGCCGTAGGTGACGCACCTGTGCTGGATGAGATACTGCCTAAGGCGCGTGTGCGGCAGCGAAAAGCTGCGAGCGGTGGGCGTGGCCGAATGAATGACGGGCTGCCCACCGTGAACGGAACGCGGGAAGTGTCATCCGAACAGGGAGCCATCACCCTGGAGGTCAGGTGAGGGAACGAGTCGCCGCCCAGCTTCGGACACCTGATGTCGGCCCAGTGATTGCATCGGTGCCGAGTTGATAAACTGAATGGTGTATTTTAAATAGGGCTTAAACGTGGCTTCACTGCACGTTTGAAATGTGATAAATAAACTTAAGTTAGCTTTACGAGGACTCACGCAGACGGGCCAATTATAATGCCAAGGTGCTGGGTAAAGGGGGAGGAGGGATCCCATTCCTGTGCGCGTCGAGAATGAGTGGGGTTGCGTGGGCGCCAGCGGATGTGAATGCTTGGAGTGAGAGCGACGAATGCACGATGCCCGCGTGGATTAGTTAAGGCCGAGGGGGGTCTCCCAGGGTTGTTATCCAGCGGGCCCTTGCCAATGAAATTCACCAGTTCCGTGTGACCCTGCCAATTGGGCGTATCATTGCTGTATCTGGTTGCGCTTTTGCCCCGTTTAAATATCATCATTAACCAAAAAAATGAGTGGGTTGGGGTACCGTGGTTAAGGGCACACAGCTATGTACGGCGGGACAGCCTTTCATAGTGCCTGACCGGACCTCAATGCCCCAGTCAGCCGCTTCATCCTCGATCTGTGGATGAAGTGTATCATGTATCCTAATGCATCATGCGAAGCGTATGATGTATCACTCTGTATCCTAGTTTTGGATGCATGATGATGGCTCTAGATATACGGCTGACTCCTACGCGCTCCAAGCAAGGGGGAGGGGGGGAAGGGGAGAGGGCGCAACTAAAAAATGTTCTTTGCGCCGCACCGTGTAAATTTTATTTTTAAGTTAATTCAATTTAATTACTATTTCATAGCTGCGGTAGCAAACTAAAAAATACTTAGTCTCGTGAGCCGCGGGTCCGACGTGTGCACATGATAACACAGGGAGAGGATTTTCGGCTGGCAGCGTAGCTTCGTTTTAGGCCGAAAATGCATGTTTTGTTCATGTGCCCCCCCCCCCCCCCCCCCGCTCTGGTAACGCATTTCTGAATATGGCCGGACGGCCGTGAGTACTCTGGTGAAAATGCTGCTGCCTTTAAAATACTTGTTTTCATTCGCAGAGAATACGACGGTGTGCATTTGATAGCGCTACTGTTGGGGTATCCTTTTAATCTTTTTTAAAAATCTTTTTTGCGCCACCAATCTTAGTTTTTATTGTTGTATACAGGCAATCGCACTGCAAGTTTCACGCACACTGGCCATTTGTGGCCAGTATGCGTGGCCACTACGCACACGGCACACTACGCACGCTGGCACACTGCGCACACGGCAGAGGTTTCAGTTTTCGGCAAATTCGCGCGACACTCTTGGCCCCACCCCTCGCTCCCCAGTTGGTATTTGTGCACAAGCAGGATATGGCTGCCCAGCCAGAATTCGTTCCAGGTTACCATATCTTTTATGCTAGAGTGACTGCATTCGGAAGAAGACCTTGACATTATTTGAAAAACTCAAAAATCTTATGAGTACTCAGCGCTAATTTGTTGACTATTTAAGTTTTAATGTAGAATCAAAGTTGATTTGTTCACAGTTGAGGCATTGCTGTAACCTCAACGATGACTGGTTGCCTTAAGTTAACGTAGAGGCTTGGAGCTCGCGGAGACCAAGTATTTTCAAACCTTGAACTTTGCGGCACTCGCGCGGAGCGGGCGAACGCCTGCCGCATTACGGTGCGTTTATTCGATTGCGGGCGTCAGTGGTGGGCTGAGCTGTTGTTACGAAGATGTTGTTAACCTAAAACATCTGAAAACGACTAGGGGAAGTCGAAACCTTGCGTTTTTGAATGCAACGTCCCATTTAATACGTGCCGACGCTAGTCAGCGCGCATGCGTACCCTGCCGAAATTTCGTGTCAATCTGGCAACATTTCTAATATGCTATGGAACGCGGCCTAAGCCGAATTGCGGTACGTTTGCAAAGGACAATGCCAGATCTGGTAGCGTACGTACATGCGACCAGAGTCCCATTAGGCCTCATCTATCCAATCATCTAACCTCATCTAAAATCGCTCTTGGGAACATCGCACACCATCACAGACTCCACTATGCTTGTGCACACACAACAATTGAGTATATAGTAAAGCATGTGAAACACGTGCGTCAATATCACGGGTGGAGCATCTCGACGAGCCTCCACATGTTACACTGTCACTGGGATAGGGCGGCGGGGGTCCGCTGATGGGTATCGGTGGGCGGCGGAGGTCTGCTCACAGGTCATCGGTGGGCGGCGGAGTCCGCTCACGAGTCATCGGTAGGCGGCGGAGGTCCGCTCACGGGTCATCGGTAGGCGGCGGAAGTCTGCTCACGGGTCATCGATGGGCGGCGGAGGTCCGCTCACGAGTCATCGGTGGGCGGCGGAGGTCCGCTCGCGAGTCATCGGTAGGCGGCGGAGGTCCGCTCACGGGTCATCGGTGGGCGGCGGAAGTCTGCTCACGAGTCATCGGTGGGCGGCGAAGATCCGCTCACGGGTCATCGGTGGGCGTCTCTGGCAGGTAGGCGTCGTTTGTCTCGCCCACCGTATCGCTGTCTGTCTTCTTCTCCACCAGGGGGCCGTCGCGCTGGGCGCGCGCCAGGTCCCGGCGCAGCGCCAGCAGCGCCAGCAAATAGAGTAACGCGCCCAAGATGTACTCGCCAGGGTAGAAAAGGTACAGTGTGTCTGCAGACAGAACAGACACCCGGCGTCGGCAAGTAATACGGGCACGTGGTGAGCCTGTTGAGGCTGGTGTTCAATGATACAATAACAGATGTCTGCGAGTGATACATCCATTACATATGCGGCAATGCATAACGAATTTGTTTTGCAAAATGCAAATGCAAAACTTGAAGCAGTGTTGTCTGATTTTGGTCGCCACAACCTACGAAAGGTCAAGCGAGGTCACTGACCTTAAAATGAGCATCAGTGACCTTTACTTAGAACAGGTATCTAAGTTCCGTAGACACTTTGACACCAACCTGGAGTTTGACTTCGTTTGACTTTACTTGAACCGAAGGTCATGATCTAGAAACCATACATTTTGACACACGATTTCACTTACAGGCTAACACAGCTTGTGAATTTGGTGTTTCAAGCTCTGTTGGAATCTGATATCGCAGAGGGATCAAACTGCCCCCCCCCCCCCCCCACACCCGAACGAAGGGTTCCCGAGCGCGCCAGCCAGCCGGTCACTCGGGTGTGTGTTAAAGGGAATGTTCCACATGTGAAGATATTGAAGCAAGTGTGAGATATGATTAAATAAGCCCACGTATAACCATCGGTATGCTTTTAAGTGGAATAGAATGCTCTGTACAACACAAGTTATGCATGACTGGGTGATATGACTGCACAAAATATTCTGACTGCTTGACTGTCTGTCTTCATGACTGCACTGCACTGACGCGTTCATGCATGGACTACACGAAATATTCGGCCCCCATCTTCGCGGGCGTCTAGCTCAGACACAGGAGGGGATAGGATCTTGAAAACAGTTGGGCTGTAAACTTAACCGAATAAACTTCAACGTGGCTATTTCGGTTCAAAACTCTCTACAAATATGGAACATTCCCTTGAAATCGGAGCCTCGAATAAGCCGGTATACCAGGCCATAATGTCAACACACAAAACACCATGACTATTGCGCATCAACAACGCAAGCCAAGCAGATTTGTGTGCATGACAACGCATTTCAGATAACTGGCAGGTCCCCCGAATAGGCTCCCACTCCGCCTCCCCCCCACCCCCCCACCCTCCACTCCTGACAGTCTGTGTGCTTCTCCGGCGCGCCAAATCTGTCCCAGTGTACAGAGCCAATGTGCTAGCCCCGACCCCAATTGCGTACCGCGAAGCGAGTCGACATCGTTGTAGCCAGCGTTGCTGAAGGCCTTCTTGACCGGGTCCACCAGCAGCGGCATGTTGCCGCCGATGTTGGTGATGACGAAAAAATAGAAGGCGACGGCGGACGTGCGTACCTCAGCCGGCGCCATCTCCACCAGCTTGGCCAGCGTGATCGGCACCCACATCTCGCCTGCAGCGGGCAGGCCCAGGTCAACTCCTACAGCTTCGACCGGCCGGCCAAAGGCGCCCGGGCTACGCGGACGCACAGTCTGCCTCTTCCGCCTCACCACAGTCCTCAGCAGCGTCGGGACACCATTCTACTGACGTGTGGGTCGCCGTTCCCCACGACTGCATACAATGCCTTGCCACACTGCTCACCATACCATGTGATCGATGCTCACCTCACCATACCTTACCACACTGCTCACCATACCACGTGATCGACTCTCACCTCATCGTACCTTGCCACACTGCTCGCCATACCACGTGATCGATGCCCTATGCACGTGTTTGGCGTGTGTTCATCACAAGCGAGCTGCCAAATGACGCTGCCACCTGTTGGGCTGTTCAGGATGGTGGGGAGTCACCGAGGGTTTGTCGGAGGTCAAGGACAGACAACACACCCAGGTAGGTGGCGCGCGAAACGCACGATCCACGTTGTCCACTAGGTGTCACACATATCATAATTCCGATGAGAAATGGAACCACACCGCGAATGTGTGACCACCATGCACTGTGACGGTGAATGTGCAGTCACCAGACTGCCGCGAACGCGACCGTGCACACACCAGACTGCCCTGGATACGAGCGTGCGCACACCAGACTGTCCTGGATACGAGCGTGTGCACACCAGACTGCCCTGGATACGAGCGTGCGCACACCAGACTGCCCTGGATACGAGCGTGCGCACACCAGACCGCCCTGGATGCGCGCGTGCACACGCCAGACTGCCCTGGATACGAGCGTGCACACACCAGACTGTCCTGGATACGAGCGTACGCACACCACACTACACTGGGCACGCTCACCACCGGAGGTTGGCACGCCACGTGCAGCCCTCCGCAGGAGAGTTCTCACCGATGATGTAGGTGGGGATGAGGCTGATGTAGGCCCAGGGCGGCTCCAGGAAGAGCACGCCGAACACGAACGGCGTGGCCAGCAGCTGGGAGATGATGATGACCCAGATGCGGCCGAGAGGGCCGAGCCTGCTCACCACCCGGTCCGAGATGAAGCCGCCGAACACCACGCCTGGCGACCGGACACGGTGAAGCGAGGACACTGGGTCGATACCACGCCCGGGGCGAGACAAGGTCAGACGAGGAAACACTAGGTTAGCACCAGCCCGGAGAGCAAACGCAGGTCAACATCAGTTCTGAGGACAAGACACGGCCAGACACGGACATCGGCCAACAGCACGCATTACACAGGTCACAGCTGACCAGGAGCAGGCTGGTAAGTCCGGAGCAGAGCAGAAGATGCAGAGGGGCTTGGCAACAACGCCGGACTTCGTGTCTGACACGTGGTATGGTACGTGCCGCGTCACAGATAGAGCAGCGAATACGGCATAATGCTTCTACGGCAGACGTGTTATCACAACCACGTATATCACTGACACGACGTGTTCATGCATGCAACACGAAGAAACCCAAGTCGTAGGACAGCGTTATGCATGGCGATCAATCAAGTTTGCCGAAGGCCTGGCCTATTTATGTTGGCGGTTTGCCCAATGAGTCGTACAGCATACTTCACAATGCCTCTGGATCCGTACCCAACGAGCGTGGCCTTCAAAGAATGGGCTGCGTTTGCGCCGGCAGCAGCCCATCGACTGATCATCACCGAAAAGTGAGTCAATGCATCTACGCACCTAAAGCATGGAACACAGCCACAACGCACGAGACGGCTCGGGTTTCACGGCACCGTTTGTCTGCTGCCCGGAGAGGTCCAATTCCTCAACATCCCAACAGCAGAGGAGTTTCATCTGGTACAGTGCGACAGAGACCGGGAGACCAGCTTCGCCACTCACTGATGGAGCCGGCCACCAGCGGGATCCAGGACATGTAGGAGCCGATCTGGGTGGACGTCTGCCCGATGCCCTCGAAGTAGTTCTGCGTGCTGTACGACCAGACGTAGCCGGCTGCAAGCCGAGGCATCGCCGGTCAGGCACACTGCCAAACGAGCCCTCACGCAGCTATTCACTGTGGTCCAGACTTCAGTCACATGCATATTTGCGCAACATAAGGAAGCATCGCCCTCTTTTGCTAGACGAGTAAGTGACGACATATTGCACATATCCGTATGACTGTATGCAGGCACTCATGAGAACACGAACCCAGCGGTAAGACATGCGCAACGATGGTCCAATATCGAGCTGTTCTATTATGTTGCTGTGGTAAGCGATGGATTGTGGACAAAAACTCTGCCGTTCCGCACGTCACCTTCAAGCAGTCTGCCCAGCGCGAGTCCCCAAAACGCTGGCCATGATTCGCCCGCATGGTCCGCTCCAAGGATCACCCGACATTGCTCCACCTTGGATTCGTGCGGTCGTCAACGGCTTCCAGATGCGCCGTGCTTTTTACGGAGTTCATTTTACAGCTTAAGAGCTCATTTTTACGCTCCGACGTCAGTTGACGGCGTAACCTCCCACCGTTTGTAATAGTTAAAAGCCATCCAGTGTCTGCCTCTATGTAAATGGTATGCTTTTTTTGTGTGGAACAGCCCGCCGGTTTTTGTGAGTTCACATGTTTTGCTCGTCACCTGTCCACCGCCGGAGGGTTCCAACCGATCGAATCTCGCGATCAGGCATGCGGACGGACTGACTGCTGGCTGCTGGCTGCCCAACTGGACACGGTGGCGGGGGTTATACCGGCCGGATTTCGCGCGTGTCAGGCACGCTCTATTCTCAACGTTGTTGACTTATTCAAGTTTCTCCTCGAAATGAGCATAAGTCAATATCAACAGGTCCTTCGCAGCATTAACAAGGCCGCAGCAGCACGACGAGCAATAATGGAATCCTCATTTTGGCGCTTTCTCCAGCGCTAGCCACGAGGAACACACAATAACTGAAAAACTGGGTTTAAATGGGGTTTCTGGCGATGGACTCGCAGCCCTATTCTTTATGTCAAACGCAATCTCAGCTCGGCTGAACAGCAAGCTGAAGCGCCGCTATATAATCACCGGTACCTTACTGCCCTGCCGCGCCTGGCAATCCGGCATACTCGCAAGAATAACAGGTACGAGCGAGAGAGCCGAAGCTATCCCAAACGGAAACTGGGCACATCAGCACCCAGTCCCTGGTTTCCAGGCTTGACTTCGTGAACATCATGCTTCTTCAGAAGAGTATGGAGTTCAGGAAGAACGAAACACACGTTCTTTGTGTTTCCCAGACCGGGCTAACGTCCTGCACCCAGCCCCATGCTATCCCCTTCCAAGGGTACTCTAGCATCCGGCGGGATCGACAACCACTCCACAGGGACGGACAGCAAGGTGCAGGCGGCTTTAGGTCATCCGCAAGATGAAATACAGCACCATAAAGTGGGGATAACCAACGCACGCCGGATCGAGGCCCTCTGCCTGTTTCGTAGCCTGGAGGGAGATCAGTGGTTATTGGGAGTAGCCTACAGACCCTGTCAATTCAATCCACCAAGCTCTCGAGCAACTCTAGGAACTGCTGCGAGATATGCTGATATGCGAGCTGATATGCGCTCGCTACTGACGCACGACGTCAACATCAGCGTGCTCGACTCGGAGTCTGTCGGTGCTCTACGATATTAGTCATCGCTGCCGGGGCTGAATACCGCCCAGCTCGTCCACGAGCCCACTCATCTCACGCCCACTCCAAGTGTATTGGACCACATCAGCAGCAGCATCGACGGCCTGAGCACCATTGCGGAGGTTCTCCATAGCGTTCATCAGCGGTCGCCAACCTACCGTCGCTCCTGCACTTGTTGGCCGAATTCGAGAGCGCGTGGGCGAGCATGCCATTCGCAGCCCGAGCACTGTCGGCAGAAATACTACTTTCCTGGATTTCATGGATTTGCTTGCAAATTTCCTGGATTTCCTGGCAGACGGGGACTACTACAGGCCGGCAACGACGTCAACGGCATGGTCCGTGACCTACTGGACCTGGACCTAGCCTACTCACGGACGTCTGGACCGCTCAAACAGGCTATACATCAAGCTCAGCTCAGCGTCATGTCCAGCGTCATGGCGTCATGTCCAGCGTCAGCGTCAGGCGGAACAGCCTGAGCACTGCCGGCAGGAACACTTCTTGCCTGGATTTCCTGGCAGACGGGGACCACTGCAGGCCGGCAACGACGTGAACGGCATGGTAGCCCCTTTCTCACGGACGTCTGGACCGGTCAAACGGTTTTACATCGGGCTCAGCTCGGTGTCATGCTCAGTGGCCGCGCAGCCCACGCTGGTGTCAAGCTCTGGTCCAGGAGTGGCAGGCCTAAATGATTCTTCTCCACCGTTGGCTTCAGCATCGCTGCGGAGCTGAGAGACGCCATGACGGTGAACGGTGATACATGACGGTGAACAAATAGCCCCAGGCCATCGATCAACGTCACCACCGCGCTCAGGCCGCAGGCAGCGACTCTGACGGATCTGGGCTCCATCATCCAGATGGTGAATCCCTAGGGTGTTGTCGACCGCCACGGCGTCCTCTTGAGTGCGACGAAGCGCAGTCTCCCTGCGCTCGGACCTAACCTGCCGCGAGTCGCGAACGCCTCAACCGCGTCTCGCGGGTTCCCAGAGTCGTGGAAGGTGACCACCGTTGCGCCGATTTACGATCCGGCGAACCAGTCAAACTTTCGGTTTATCTCTCTGCTCCTCCGTCAGTCACAGGTGACAGACAAAACCTATGCAACCAGCCGGCTGTCTTCTCTTCTACCAGCAGTATTTCAATCTTGTTCATCCAACAGTATGCCCGCCGCCGCAGGCGTTTACCGGAGGACGCTGTGCTCGATGCTGTTGCTTGGATATTGGGAGCTCAATATTATGGCTACATCTCTCCAACCATAGCAGCTTATTTGAGCAAAGCTCTGAACCGGGTCGACCGTGAGGTCATCCTCATCCAGCTGAGACGGTTTGAAATCCATTAAGACATACGATGAAGAAACTATTTGAGTGGGCGTGGCCCGATGAACAGAGCAAATGGCCAGGCTCCCCCATCTGCTAGTCACGGCACCCCACAGGGGTCAATAACCGGGTTGATCTTGCTCAGTCTCCTGACGAACGGCTTGCCGTGTCATCGTACCAGCCGTCGAAAAATGGCATTTTCTTACCAGACTCGACTGCTGGAGTGAGCAAGAGCAGATGGCCCCGTGGCCTTCTGCTCGCGAATTCAAGACAATTTGGTAGGTTGGAAGGCTGTTTTGATCAAACTTGCTCAAAATGAGCCACACAAAAACGAGATTCACCCCGATAAGAAGCAGCCTATGACCTAAATGACCTAAAAAGGGTCAATGGCAATATACATACAATGAAAGGTTTTAGACCACATGCAAATATACATCGGAAATGCCTGCGTACAATTATATCTTATGTCTTTCGCCTTCGTCCCCCCCCCCCCCCTCCTCACCACCACCGCTCTCCCGTTTCCCCGAATCACGCGCCTGCGTTTCTGATGCCTCCAGCCAGGCAGAGCAGGATGACCATTGGTCGGAAGAAGAAGCGCAACGTTACAAGCAGCTTCTGCACCGACGTCAGCTGTGCCGAGGCCGCCTTGCTGGCGGCGCTGGTGCCGGTCCGCGGCGGCTCCTTCATCGTCAGCAGGATCAGCACGCCCAGCAAGATACCGGGACCCCCCGACAGCAGGTACGACCATCGCCAGCCCTGCGGGCAGGTCGGGGTCACACCACGACAAGACGGGCAATAGGGAGCGCCCACCAGCAGGTGCGGTCACCGTCAGCCCTGCGGGCAGGTCGGGGTCACACCGCGGCAGGACGGGCAACAGGGAGCGCCCGCCAGCAGGTACGACCATCGCCAGCCCTGCGGGCAGGTCGGGGTCACACCGCGACAGGACGAGCAACAGGGAGCGCCCACCAGTAGGGGCGGTCATCGTCGCCCTGGAAGTCAACACAGCGCCAGATGGCATGAAAACGGCTCGCACATAAGGCGCATCAACACGCATCGGGGGGGGGGGGTGGGGGGGGGGCGGGGGGGGGGGGGGGGCTTGGGGGGGAATATGGCGCGCGGAGGCGTAATCGCCGAGCGGTTGACACCTTCAGAGCTCACACTTCGGGAGCTCGGGTTCGTGGGGAAGACTAGATTGTCACCTTCTGGTTAAGAACGGCCAAACAATGCCAAACTCCATATCTGTGTCCTGAGTGTACTCAGACCTCCGCAAGTATCTAGCTTTAACCTAGACACCGTTTAGAAGCAAAAGGTCAATGGTGTTCATATCAATTGAGTGACCTTGCTTTACCTTCTGAAGGTCAAGATGAATAAGACCCCGTAAACTTGCTTTAATATTTAGGTTTAAAGTCAGTATCAAGATCTACGCCAGGCAGCATGCTCCTCAAAGTAAAAACCAATATGTCTTTGATGTCCCTGTTACAATAAGTTCGTGATGAGCGCCAATACTACCCCATACAGCAAGGATTCTAGAAATAAGGCGGCTTAGTTACTGACGATCTGATCTTGAGTTGCTTAATCTGATCTTCATGCGTGACGCAATGCCAATGAAATTAGTCGTTACTCTGACTCAAGTTGTCTATGTGTCTGAGAGACCAACTCAAAGCTGTATGCCTTCGTCCAACATTACGCTGTCTCATCAGATTGAACGATTCCTTATGAACTGCCTTCGCTAAATGTCATGGCCTTCTGGGCCTTGGGGGTAAAATGAGCGCAGCTGCATCCCGCCTCCAGCTGAGCACGCGGTAACGGGATGGCCATGCACGCCAAGACAGTGTGCTGTTATAACCTAGGCAGGCTGTGCCCGGCAGCCGATGAATGCGAAAGTCAGCGTAGCTCGACTCGGTCTCGCATAGCACAGTTTCCAAGGGCAGCTTACCACGTGAATGGATTGGGCAGCGAATACAGCCGCGGAGCGGAACGAAAGCCCAGCTGGCAAAACCCTAAGACTGGATGGACAAGTGGCCACATTTCGGGACAAACAGGCGGAATCGAGCGACGAAAGTAACAGGGCGCACGACCATGACGTCACAAGTAACGGGGCGCACGACCATGACGTCACAAGTAACGGGGCGCACGACCATGACGTCACAAGTAAAGGGGCGCACGACCGTGACGTCACAAGAGCCTTCTGCCAATATGGCAGTCTGCATGCCAGTCCCCCAGCAACGTTCGGGGAACGGCGGCAGGCAACGTGAAGACTACGACCACGCCTACCATGCCGAGGATGTCGGCGTTCGTGATGAAGTTGCCGACGGCGTAGGCCATGGAGTAGCCGAAGTAGATGCCCCAGTTGTAGACGCCGAGCGCGGTGCCACGCAGCTCTGGGGCGAAGTAGTCGGCCAGCAGCGATGCGGCGAACGGAGTGCATCCCGCCTCGCTGCGAACGGTCAGCAAATATCGGGACACGTGAGGCACGTGATGGTGGCACGTACGACAGGTGAGGGCACGTGTCGGGGCACGTGAGGGCGGCACGCCGGGGGCAGCGACACGGAACCGGGATAACAGTTCGCCGCGGGCCCCGTCGAGTCAGGAAGAGCAGCTCAAAATCAAAGGGGATGTTCCACATTTGAAGATATTGAGGCAAACATTAGCTATGCTGAGATCGGCTCACTTGTGATCGGTGGTTTGCTTTCAAGCGTTAAACTGTTCCAAACAACAACATTTCAAATTTTGGTGAATCTGCTGTTCAATACGTCACTGGTTGATGCAACGTCTTTCTGACGTCAGGGTCGGTACCAGACTGGCCGTGTCAGAATTGTTGCTGCGGAGGACGTGCCCAACTCACTTATAATACTTCATCATGCTGAGAGGTGGCGTTGCGTGCCGTGGTGTGTCTGCTGAATCATAATATCGTTAGATGTTCGCATTTTTATCTTCTCTCCTGTTGTTCTTGCATATTTGTGACCTGATATTTTTACTTGCATTCACGTGCCCGTTTGCGGAGTTTTTGTTAATTCATTCAATTCCCAGTCTTATTTCTGTCGTTAGTCGTACCGCTGCCAAAATTTTTGTATCACGTAACACAAAACGTGATTCATGTTCGAGCATCCGTCCTCTTATACTCTTTTTTACTTCATACTGCGTCTTCGCGACGCCCCGCTTGCCCGGGGCAGGCTGCATGCGTCAGCCACGAGTGGGCCAAAACGCCCCCTGGTTAGGGCCCCCTTCCGAGCGCTAAGCACGCGAGCCCCGCAGAGGGTCAGTGTGTGGGCTTAGTCCCTGGCTGCTTAGTCTCGGCGGATGGGCGCCCAGGCGCATGTAGCACTGCCCCACCGTAATCCATTCTCCCTCATCCCATAGCCCTGAAATGGTGATTGCTGCCCAAAAGCGCACTTATCCAGGTGACCAATTTACCAGATTGTGTTCTAAATTTGCACTGATCACAGTTAACAGGGTGAGGGCCAACTGAAGTCCGTTAACGCTGCACATCGTGCTGTCGCGCGCCAGACAAGAATGATGCGATGATTATGTTCTTGAGTTTGGGCACAATACGGTCATTAAGGTGGCGGTATACACGTGATGTTTCTATGGCGTCGTGCACGTCTGGTTGACGTTGAAATAGCTTGCACGAAATAGTCTATACAAGTTCGCTGGTGCCAAGCTCAGAAACAAAAAGGATTTAAGCCTTGGAAAGGGCATGGCTGTGAACTGCACTGAATGGTCTTTAAAATGGCCGTCTCAGTCTGCAACTCTCTGGTGTTCACGCCCACCACCATAGCGTGCGCAGGGTGCACGACGGTACGCGCGCCGATGAGCGTGTGATGCACCTGGTGTACGGTATCCCCCACGGGCGGATAGCGGCGGGGCGCCCTGCGCAGGTTAGCGCGCACCGGGCTCATGCCACACGGATGGGGAGGGAGAGGGAGGGGGAGGGGGGTGGGGGGTTAGGCAGCCGCCAGTCGTCCTCAGCCGCCCCAACGGCCATATATGGCCTCCCCGGTCGGCAGTCGTCCGACGCTTACGTAACGGGGCCTCTTTCAGGGGCACACGGCGCCGATGTCGAGCTGTCGAGATACTCCCGGCTGCGTGTTCGGTGCATGCGGTCGGCACAGCGGGGCCAACCAGGCGACCGACACATATGCCGATGGATCATTAAGATGTTGGGAAGGTATAGCGCGAGCCACGTGCCGACAAAACTCCGACCTGAGAACAGTCTGATTCGGTGTCTCCTGACCAATGCCAGCAGAACCAATTAAGGAGGGCGGGAATTCAACAGCAAAAATCGTGTTTCTATTGTTGTCGGAGTGACGGACGATCGATCATTATATACCTTTGACACCATCAGATAAACGGAACTTTTGACGGCAACGCTGCAAACCGCTGCGTATCGCGATAAGTTACGATAACTGCAGCGTCTCGCTGGCGTTTCACGTGCCCTCCTGCGATTAGGCGGACTGGCGGGACAGCTTGCCGCGCCTCCTGCACGTGTAAGGTGGAAGGTGACCCCGAGCGTCACTGAGAGCGCCCACAAACGACCGAGCTCGCCTGACTGTCGGCCAGTTCTGTGAACACAGACGGCGCCGTCGGCCGGTGCACTGACCCGAACCCGATGCCGAAGCGAAGCGCGGCCAGCTGCCAGTACTCCTTCACGAACCCGGTGAGGAACAGGCAGGTGGACCAGAAAATGCAGGCCACTGTCAGCAGGACCTGACGGAGAACACACGGTCAGGCACCTGCGCTGCGTTGTTCTGTCCGGCTCCAATAACACCGCGATGTCAGTTCAGGGCGTGCCAGCACAGAGGAGGGCTGAAATTGAGAAGCAGGTGTTTTAGATGCCATGGTGCACCTGAAGCACCTGCCTCTGAAATACCTGCGACACACGGCATCATGTGTGGCGTGAATTGGCATCAATTGACATCAACGGCAACTGTGCTGAATTGCGATGTGCTTTTGTTTTGCAGTTTTCTGCTAGATTGTCTTTGAATTTGCTGCATTTGCGTCAGACATGTCCAGATACCCCCAAGGAATACGCGCCGGTGGGTGGGCGGTACAGAACGTTATGTTAGAAGGTATTCTAACTCTAAAAGGTTCCCTCCAGACAGGCGTGACAGACGCACCTTCCTGTTGTAGAAATCGGCCGCAATGCCCATAGGAATGCCGGCAAAGGTATAGATGAGGATGAAGACGGGGCCTGCCAGCAGGTCGTACTGCGTGCCGGTGCCCGTGTAGTCCCACTTGCAGCCTTGCACGCCGTCCGCGTCCTTCCGAAGCGCGCAGCTGAAGCGTCACGTACGGGGAGCGTCACACGGCCGAGCCACCCGGCTGACGGACCCCCAGACGCCGAGGAGAACGCAGGCGTGAGCTGGGACTGGGGCGCGCCAAATGGCGCCTGAAAGGGGCTCCATGCCATCAAAGGACAATGTGGCTCGCATTATCAGGTTTCTGACCTCGCTACATGAGCAAAATAGCAACAACGTGGATGATTCCAGGCAGATGAAAGGAGTTGAACACAGTTCCTCGATCAACAAATTCCGGAGTTATTCAAGCCTCTTCTGGTTAGACTCCCAAGACACTTACTCAAGGCGAGGAGGGGCTACGAACTTCATATCCCAGAGATCTAAGGAACTTGTGGTCCGGTATTGAAAACCAAGCTTTTTTTGTTTGTTAATTACTTGTGATGTTGACTGACTGACTGATGCTGACTGAATGTAGACAGACTGAAACTGCGTTTCGTTTGAATCGAAAGTCCTTGAAAATTTCGGTTTCTCAGCCCTGTTATCAACGCCTCTCCTTTTTTAATTCTAGTCTTCTGAATGTTTTTCACGTTGATTTATTGTTCTGTCAGCATCTTACGTCTTGTTTTTTATATTTGCCTGCTATCTTTAACTTTTATCTTTTGCCTTTTATGTTTGACTTTTTATCTTTAACTTTTAGCTTCATTTTTAATCATAAACTTTCGTTCTTTGACTTTCAAGTTTTAGTTTTCATCTTTAATTTTTTCCTTGACTTTTCATCTCTGACTTTACATTTTTGACTTTTTATCTTGACTTTTTCGAGTCTGATTTATTGTTGATCTTGTTTGGATCTTAATCTTGGTTTTTTCCGCAATCCTAACTCTAATTGAACATCTAAGTTTTCTTTACTTTTCTTTCTTTTACCTTACATTTTCTTTTCCACTAGAGTCTTATCCTTGTCAACTGGATACCGGTGCAATTTTTGTCATTCGGTTTGTCCTTCAAACTTTTTTTCCTCTCAAATTGGCTTAACTTAATTCGACTGTTTTCCATCCAGCCCTTTTCATTTTATTTTCCCATTAAAATCTCTTTCAAGTAGCCTTTTCATGCCACCTTTTCTTTTGCAATGTTTCTACCCAGCTTTTCAGTTGACCTTTGCATTCACCCTTTGCTTTCAAATTTTCCGTTCAACTTTTCTATTCAACTTTTCCCATGCAGCTGTTTCCCTTTAATTTTGTTTTCCACTCGTCTTTGTAAGTGACCACCAGGTTGTAAAATGTCGCCGCGGAAAGCAAACTGGTCACGTTTAAGTACAATGATATGCAGCAGAAAACGAGTAGATCATGTGCGAGTGTAAATGCAAATGCCCCGCAAATGGGAAACGTCCATACTCTAAATAGGCCAGAAAGCAATGCATGATTGCCCACGGAGCGCCAAAATGGTCACCAACAACACAAGCAATAGGCTGGCACATCGGCCCAGATCATGATGTCGGCCCGCCTCGAAAGCCATAGGGGATCACGGCGGCACCCTCACGTGGCGTTGGTGGTGCAGTTGGAGCAGTCCGTTTCCGACAGATGCGAGCTGACGGCATCGTCCAGCAGGCAGCCGCGATCTCCGAATCCGATGTCCTGTGCGGTCGGGCGCGCTACGATGGCTAGCATGTAGCGGTCCAGCTGGTTCAGCAGGAAGGCGAGCACCAGCAGCAGCAGCACGTACAAACTGTAGCCGGACGACCGCAGCAGACTCCGCAGCCCGTCGGCACGCCCGCCGCCCTTCGACTCTTCGTGATGCGTGAAAATGATATGGGTATATTGTTAAGGATTTATTGTCATTTAACTCGGTTGTTTTGAAGATTTGACCAGATGCGAGCCTGACTATAGATGACTACCGTGGCTTAAGATTTCACATGGTTGAGGACAAAACTACTAATATTCCCCAGTTGTCCCCGCATATAACAGTCGACGGTCTGGAAGACAGCTCCAAAAACGTGGACAGGGTTTCAATGAGCCCCTTCTCTCGTCCAAAGTAAACAACGTTTACCTTTGCTCTACTAGGGGTGCGGGGGGGGGGGGAACAAGCCCCCGCCCACCAAGTTTGCTCTCCGAAGTATCGTCTGACCGGTTTGGAGCATGGCGATGAAATTTGGAACACCTGCGTTTACTTTAACATATTTTGTGCAACTGTGAACTTTTTGTTCGTGACGTCTAATTACACATGATCTGCTTCTCGAGGTCATATTGGTAGTATTATATTCCAAACTGCCAAGGAAGGCTTATTTCTGCCGGAAATATACTACAAACAGGTCTCTAGACTTCTCCTTTTGTCTTAACACTCATAAGTGCGCTGTTGCCGTTCCGATGACGTTTTATAAGGTCATGTCATCTGAGGTTACATAAGGCCAAACCTTTAAGTTTTTGCCCCATTCTAAACGTTAGTCAGCATTTTTTTACAGCGGGTCACCGTTTTGAATTGAGCCACAGTTTTTTTTGTTAACCACTCAGTCATCAACAGAGCACTGGAGCACCCAGGCAGGAAAATACGTGATTCTATCCTTATAGGAAGTCAGCGCCCAGACCTTAACGTACAGAGTTCATCATGGCCGATTGTGCAAATGAGATCAGCGCCTTGCTGTGTGATCTATGCTAGTTAAAAATCCTTTGCATGTATGTGCGATGCCTGACGAGCGATGCACGATGGCTGTTAAATTCAATCGTTTGCATGTGTGAATAATGCGTGATACATCATGCCTGTTTGCTTGAATTCGTTTGAATATATACGTATATTACAAGTTCTTTTATTTTTGGTTAGATACGCACTGTTTCGTAGTAATGATTGGCAATTACTCCCTGTTTAATCCCCTGAATTTTGGTGACCGGTAAGAACCGTAGCTCGCTGTTTAAAAACAAATTTGAAACTGAAAAATTGAGTGGAATTGGCAGGCGATTTTGAATTTAGTATCGATATTCGTTTTGATAAAGGCGCGTGGCCGAATTTCAACCCGTCTATTTCTCCATTCGCTTCGTTAATCTACCAGGAATAAGACTATTATTACTGTCTTACCCATATGTGTAGTGTTCCTCGCGAATGCACTTTACGACTTGCGTAATTTGCAGATTTCCTGGATAATATGCAAACTCTTCGGTGGGTTCAACGTTTACAAATTTGTTGGTTGACTTGGCAACGGCCCACTTTTTTCCATTGCTTATAACATAAGCCTAACAATATCACTTGATGCTGGTACTACTCTTTACAATTCTTAAAGAATGAAGCTATGATATATCAAACCACGGATTTGCGTAAGTTTTTCAGCGCATTTGGAAAGAAAATTATTCGCATAAATAAAACAGTAGTAATAACCTTATTTCTCAGAGAAAAACCAGGAGAATGGATATAAAGGCGGGTTGATATTTTGGCGCATGCCTTTATCGAAACAATAGCAGAAACATTTCTGCTATTGTTTTGATATAGGTATGTTGCCGAAATGTCAACCCATCTATATCTCCATTATCCTGCTTTTCTCTGAGGAATAAGGCTATTACTGCTGTCTTAAACCATATATGTGCCTGGCTTACGGTAGCAAATGATCAAAACTTACCGTATAGATTGATGTAGCAAGGAACCCGTTGTATACATGTACCAGTATGCTTGCTCAAATTGCTAACCCACGCCCCAACTGACGCATATTTTGTATTACTTAAGACCGCTTGATTTTGCAGTGGAACATGAACTGCATCCGAATTCACACGACCACGCTATATTGCTGTTAGCGAAGGCTCAAAATACACAAATGGTGATATTAATGGACCCCTGCATGGCCCAAGTAGAGCAGGTTGTCCAATAAATCATAGATATCGTCATTCAAATTCTTGAGGCATGCAGCTTCTACAATTGCAGGCAATTTTTAACACAATGTTAGTTTCTGCTTGATACTCGACATACAGACGTTTTCACACTCATCGTAGAAGGTGGTCTCAGAGGCCCCACAATACCCCATAATATCTCGAAAATAAGTAAGCTAGAGCCATGGAAAAAATAGAGATCGACGACTGTCAAATTACATCATATAGAGATAAAAAAGTGTTGAACGTGACATTTGAAAGATGACTTCGGATCATGTGGGACGATAGTGTTTTATAGATGTCTCCTATTATCCCCAGGCTTAAGGAGAGTGCTCCAAATTTTATTTCACTACCATCTGGTGCTTGCTTCAATATCTTCAAACGTGGAAAATTCCCTTCAAACACGCCACGGCAAACCGGGAGACGAAGTTGAATGAATGGGTAGCTGTTGAAAAATACGTCAGGCAGGCACCAGTAACTATTTGCATATGTGGCCCATAGCATGTTACATTTGTTCAAAGGTGTGCAGGCGATCATAGCATTGAACAGTTCGTTGATAAAAATAGCTATATGTCAGCGCCAGTTCGGTTACATAAAAACATACACAAGTCACATCAATGGGGAGGACAGCTTTGGAAAGGCCAGAGAGACGGGAGAGGAAAGCTGACAGATAGGTTCAAGTGAAGGAAGTGTTTCACATTTGTGTGGCGTTTTGAACTGAAATAGCCTATCTTGAGTATCATTCGGTGCAGTTCACAGCCCTGCACTTCTTAAAACCTAAGCCTTTCTATTTTTTTAGCTTTAGTGCAAGAAGGTGCGCAGACTATTTTTGGGAGACTTTTTCGAGGTCATCGATGACGCCATAGTAACGTTATTTCAATTTCTGCGAATTCCATTAGTCATGTTGCGATCAAGGTTAATCAAAATATTTTCCTCGAGTTGTTCATATCTAGCATTTGTGAGCACGATTTTTGGATTGAACAGCGGCCTATGGGCTCTCAACCAATGCTGTGCATGGCACGATGACGAAAATCAAGCGATAACGTATTGAGCAGCACATTCACCCAGCAGAGAAATCGTATTGTCTGGAGCATTATTTTTCCACATTTAAGTTTACCAATATTGGTAAATGAGCTTATTTCATCAGCTTGGTGCTTGATTGAAAAACTTAAAATATAGAACATCCTTTCAAGGCGTCAGTGATGTGTCTAATCCATATGCCTAATTTTGATAAAATATCACAAGTTTGACCTAGCCGAGCCATGAATGACAAAACCTTACACAGGCCACCAAAGCGAAAGTAATGCACTTGGTAGTGATATAGATCTGAAAAATTATAAATGTGCTGTAGGCCGTATTTTCTGCAAGAAACATGTGCTCTTTGTCACTTTTGATAAAAGTGTCACCGACGTGACCTCGAAAAAGCTGCGTATACCATGGATCGTCGAGGACAAAATGAACCATAAGAATAAAAAAACTCTGTAGCATGTATGCAAGCGATGTAAGTTCAGGTGCCCAAAATTTCAGCATCATACAGTTATTTAGACATGATAATAAGGAAAGAAACCATTCAGTGACCATGTGGCCCGCTCGTGGAGTGACGGTTGTGTCCCGGTATCCTTAAGGTTTTTGGAGTCACCCAATACGTGCAACAGCACCATGCAGTGGCGGTTGCATATCCACAGCTGTCCCGAAAAACTATCATGCGACCTATACGGATACAGAAAAACCTCAACCGACAGAGTACTTTTAGAGCCTTTGGCCCTTAAGCTGATATTTCACACGCTCGTTCGATAAGGTGAGGGACTGATAGGACTTCCGCCATGCTAACGTGACCTTCCAGGTCACGCTAATGCCCTTAGACTGTCCACGTGACGTTTCTATGGCTTCAAGCGTGCCTGGGTAATCTTGAAATAGTCCGCGCGAAATGATCTGCACACGTTTGGGGCGTAAAGTTTAGTGACGATCGGGCTTTTGGTCTCAACATGGGCAGGGCTATGAAGCGCTCGATTATCTTAAACTTGACTGCTGTGGTCTAAAACCCAGTACAAATGTGAACTTTCTTTTTATGTTTCTGAAGTTATGTTTAAAAGCACTGAGGAAGTCAGGCCGCCGTCGGGAGAGGGTTACATCTCGGATCAATTTAACGTTGGACACACGTGGACATCGGATCGTGCATCTGGCAGCAGACTGACGAGGTGAAAGCGCAAATGTAAGCATGACGCGAAGCAGACTCGCTTACACGTATGTGACAGGTTACTTAGTCATTTTACCTTGAGAGGTAGGAGTTGAAATCACCTGTTGAATTGGAGCTCTGTTCATGGGCATGCGTTGGGAAAACAGGGTATGAACTGTGGCAGCAACGATACCAACTTTATGAATGTTCACGTCCCGTGTCAACAACTTGGTCATTAATGCTGCTCACATGGGTGGCTATGGGCACTGTTTTAACTGATGTGAATATATAATGGGAGCGCACACATACTGAACCAATCCAAGTAGCCGACGTCGTGACTCGCCTATACGTACTCACGGATTTTCAGAGTGCCCGTTTTGCCCATGGTTGCCAGCGGTTTGTATCACGCAGTGACGCCGCAGATGCGGTAATGGACAACGCCTGCCTTAGTCTTCTGCCAGCTGAGGGCTCACAGGTCACTGGTAGTTGGCAGCGAATTTTATCGAGAACTCATGCTCGGTGGAGAACACAGAGAGACACTGCCACTCTCGCCGTGGTCCAAAGTGGGCTCAGGAGACCTCCCAAGTAACGATGACTTTGCTGATATGTTCAAGCAGAACAGAACAGCTTGAAAACCGGAGCTCAGAAGGCTTAGGGCTGGTGACAACGTGGGCACATGCGCATGGCTGGGCGGCGAGGTGGACAGTGTTTGCTAACCACAGCTAGCAGCTACATATTTTGCACGCAATTTTCTGCATTACCTTAAAGGAAACTAAGTGCGCCACTTCGCGCGTGATCTTGGAGGGCTCATTCGTGGCCTATCTCGCGTGTCTCATGCGCAATCAGTGAGGTGGCGCAGGGGCGTGTGCAGAATTTGAAAATGGGAGGCGCGATCATCCTCCCTGGTCTGAGAACAAGAGAACGGACGCATTCGGCGACTTGATTAAATTATTTATGCTGTGGCAACCAGACAGCAGCCCGCTTAGCTGCGTTTGTGTTTTTGTTTTGGGGGAGGTCTTTCTTGTAGATTGCTATTTAAGGCAACCAGTGGCTCTCACACCATGCACATACATTCGAAGCTATATATATTTATATAAGATGCGACTCCTAGTTGGTGGCTTGAGGCTCGTGTCGCGTGTAGGGCGGCTGCGTGCAGTAAGCAGGGACAATCTGTGACCGGTAGGCTGGGTGTGATGCTAAAGCTGACAAGTGACTAGGGAACCCAGTCAACAGAATAGTGGATTAAGTCACTTCTCAAAAGTCGTTATGATAACGGGTTAACCATCCACCAGTACATGTTGATTGTTGATACAGTTGACTGTCGCAGCAGTAGCAAAACGAGAAATCACCACAATCAATTGTTGGAAACGTGAAGTAGCATGCACATAACAGTATACGCCATCCCGTTTTGGGGGACCAAACCAGGGTTTTACGACCTTTGCGGAACAACCCTTCCCCTGGATCTGCCTTTTTGCCTGAACGTGTGCGCTGACTAGCGCTATCGTGTCTTCAATAGTATGATGCGTTCGAAGACCGTGTATGGTACGTTACAGCTTCCCCGCGTCACTTCTGCATGCATTTGATTAACAGCAACTTCTTGCTCTAACAACAGTTCAGCCAACCATCTAACAATGGAATACATGTGGGGGCGCACGTACATAGTAGACCCTTGGGGCACGTGTACCCTCTTTACCAGTTGTATGGTATAAAATGAGCGGAGTGCGCAAAACTCAGTTCTCAGTAAAACAACTTTGGGATGTTCCCACTCATCCCATTTTGAAATCCCGCGTGCGTCCATAACCACACGCCACACAGGTGCGCAGGCGCCCGTCCACATCCTACGATGGCTTGGTTTGGAGGCAACTTAATGGTAACCATGGTAACTGATGCAAGCGTCATTGAATGGTAATTAATGACGCTTGAGTTGTCAAAGATGAAAATGGTAGCACACTAGGCAGGGGTGAGAAAAGTGCCTTTTCTGTCACTGACGAAATTTGGAACCGTCTTAATTGTCACTTGGAGCCAAATCGGTCAAAAACCGCTGCAACATAACTCTTTATACAATAAACCACAAAACAGAGAAATTTAATGCAATGCGACACCACCATCAAGCGATTTTTGGTTCGAGACTTCATTCGCATTTCAGTGTCATTTGATGATGGTTGAGACTAAAGTAGTCAAATTTACAGGTAAAGACATACTTGACATAACCAGCCTAGTTTTATACCTAGGCGTGTAGTTTCCTATTTAGTTAGGGGGAGTGGATTGTGCCTCCTCACCAGGGATGCAGTTTCTTATCTTTAGTTATGGTTCTTTAAGCATTATTTTTCATCAATCATAATTTCTAGAGCTCAGCCCTCAAACTAATTTCGAGAAACTACACCCCTGCTCCCAGCTGTGAAAAGAAACAGCGTCAAAGTTGTGAAGAAAACTGTTTTAAGTGCATTTCGGAGGCTGGCTCAGCCTTTTTCCTGCTCCCCCCCCCCCCCCTCCCGTCTCTATCCCTCAGCCCTAAGTCTTTTGCAAAACTGCATCCCTGTAGCCCTAAATTTACCAATAACATGACTCTACAATCGCCTGATAGCAATATGACTTTTGGTTTTGTAACGTCATCGTGCAATTACCTGAAAGCGCCTGCGACATTCACTATCTTCGCATAATCATTACCGGTGCAGAACTCACACTTCATAACCTGAGCCCAATCATTGGGAGCAAACCCCACGTCATATTGGTATCAACAGATGCAAATTACATTTTTGAACACTTCTAGCACCTATATTTAGTTTTATATGCAATATGGTGAAAATAAAAAGCGCTTTATCCCACCCCTGTCCACCAATCAGTACGCTAAGCCTGAGGTGCAACGGGCAATGTGAGAGGCCTACACCAGTGAAGCTCAGCCTCTTACCTCGAAACCGCTGTTCCTCTTAGCAGCAGAAAGCCCCGGATGAATCTTTGAAATGTGTCGCCCCAACGTCCTCCGTTTACCTCTGACGCGACAGCTCAGGTACCCACAAACAATAATCCTCCTAGTCCGGCAAGGCTTTTTAACGCAATTACATTAAAAATCTGACGATTAGCTACGTTCTTCCAGCCAGTCAGCTTCTCATGACATGAACACAGCCAACAGCAGCCCACAGCTTTGCACTGAACCCAATGTATTAAAGCGTGACGAGCGTTCGGGCCAACCTGTCTCCAATGACACGACGCTTTAAAACGCTACGTAACAAACTGACCACGTTCGTCGCAGGGTGCTATGGCCAGCCTCGACCCTTACGACTATTAATAAGCCTAATTATTTGGTATTTTATACTGTTTAGTATGTGAAGTGAATCGGGGCTGAAACAGTTGTGAAAAGCATTGATCTGAGGGGCACTGGAAAAACACTGTGTCACCACTGATCCGTGACGCGAGACGACGGCAGCACTGATATAGCATAGTTTGTAATATATTTCCAGTAGCTGTTAAAAACCATCCTAACTAAAGCAACCATGTTTGGCAACATCTTATGGCTCAATTTGCTCATACAGCTAAAGGCTCCCACGTGTGTTCTACACATGCTTACGTTGCAGGTGTTAATGAGTGCAGACCAATGCTAAGCTTCGAGTTTCGTCTAGCTGGGATAGTAAGTTGTAATATGGTCTGGTCTATTGAAATTTAGTTGCATTTCGCAGTTTTGTCGCCAAGCGGTTCGCAAACGTGGCCGATTTTGTCACCGGTCATATCCGGTAAATCCGAAGGTTTTTCACCCTTGGTACTAGGATGGAAGCACTACGTCTGTGCGAGCTCCAACGACTTGACGTCAAAGGTCAGCCTTATCAGTGTTAAGGTTACAGTGGCACTAAATCCTTCAACCAATAGTTCGTCATAAACCTCGGGAGCGCAAATAGAAAAACGTCGTTCTCCCATATCAGTACGCGAACGACTCATAAACAGATTACTGACTTGTCTCGTGGGTCTACAGTGCACTTTACTCACAGTGCGGAGCATTAGAACAGGTAATCGTGCACGCCTGAATGGAGGGTTTGTGGGTGAGTGAGCCTGCCTGGTGAGGGAGGCCTGCTTGGAGCTGCAGTGGAGAGCCAGCAAGGCCTCTGGTGCACGTCCGGCACATGATCAATTTTTGGGGGGTCGAAAATGACTTCCGCAGCAAATTTAACACCTTTTAATCTTGGATATCTGGGCTGTGAACCGCAGTCGCATACTAATACGTTATCTTAAACATGTTTTTTTCATACCCACTATCTTTATATCTTGCGGCTTCCTAATTCGTTCATGTCCCTGTTCCGTTTTGCTTATATGTCGACAGTATCTACTTCTTCACGCATGCTGTTTTACAACAACATTTGCTTGGGAGAAGGGTGAGAAAGATTCTCTAGGCTGGTAGCTTTGCAGCACGTTTTTGCTACAAGTGGCGTTTTACATCTGACGGAAAAGCTCTATACCTAAAGCTGTAAGGTTACCGCCACACCGACACCGACGCGTTTGATCTTCTTGACCGGCTTAGAAAGTTCGTCGTTAAAGCCCCGTGATTGGCAGAAATATTATGACGTTGGAAGCGACTGCTCGTGAAACAAAACACCATCGTGGCGATTCGTTGCTTGGAACGCAGTCAAAGTATCGAGTCCACGAAAGCGTCACTAGAATGTCGATAAGTAAAACGAATCAGCATACGGCCGGGGTGCAAACAAAGGAAAAATAACAAAGTGGCCGACAAGGGCGTCTACAAATTGCGTGGCGCGTGGAGGGAAGAGATGGGATTTTTTGATGAGGCGTGATCGAAATGTGAGGAAAGGAAGAGGGTTCTGTACATTGTAACGTTACGCTCTAGTGCAGTTGCAAATCGTGTTGAGATGGTTGAAGGAAATGTTCCGCATATGAAGATTTTGAAGCAAGCATGAGAGATTATGAAATAAGGTCACCTATAACCATCGGTATACTTTTCAGTGGAGAAGACTGCTCAAGGCAACAAAGTTTACGCTAGTAAATATGTTCCTCAATATGTCATTGTTTATTAAGTTATAAAACATTTATACACTAGATCGTCACACGCCAAGCATCAGATCTGAGCGACTTGACAATTTTTTCTTATTGGCCTGGAACGCCACAAGGCATAAGAGGTAGCAGGATTTTGAATGACGCTTCTATACCGTATGCATGCATGGTGAACTTAAAATAGTCTGCATGAAATAATCTGCTCATCCTCGTGGGCGTGCAGCTCAGAAACTATAGTGTTTTAGGTCTTAAAATGGCAAACGGCAGGGCTGTAAGCTGCACCTGGTGATCTTCAAAATATCTAGTTCAGTTCAAAACCCCTTACGAATGTGAAACACTCCCCTTAACACGCGCTCGGTTGGAGGTCTACTTGTCCCTCGAAGTTTTTTACGGAAGGATTTTG